GAGCTCGTGGGCTGGGTGAACATGCTACGAAAAGATGGCGTGCCTGTGAGTGGGCCTATGCTAGAGATGCAAGCACTTGAAATCGCCGCGGAACATGATGTTCTAGGGTTTAAAGCTTCGTGGCACTGGCGGAAGGGGTTCTTGCGTCGCCATCAACTCAGTTTACGAGCTCGAACACGTCAAGGAAAGAGGGCATGCTTAGTGGGTGATAAAGATAAAGATCTATCATCCGACGACGACCTGGCTGACGACAGCGAAAGCGACGGAGAAGACAATGAATGAATAATCGGAAGCAATACAGAAGTAGATAATCAGAAGTTAGAAGTGTGTGTTCTTAACATTGGGTCAAAAATGTATTATTCGATACTTAAAATAAAGTCAGTCCTCAAAGATATGTGTTATAGATGGGTCAAGATAAATACGACTTGTCCGTTTGCACATAAGTTTTACGGTACTAGTATTATGTAAATAAATGCTATTGTATTAATACTCAAGTCAGAAGAAAAATGTATTGTTTTAATTTTATTATGTAATATTAATTGTCAATAGTTATTTGAAATATGTGGTACACCTCATCGTACTTAGCGCTTCGTAGCTTTGATAGCAGCACTTTGTGGTCGAGAGACTCCGACCGGTGCAAGACAAGTTGCGCATTGACATGGCTCTGCTACTGCGTAGTGTGACTTCGGTGGGCGCCAAGCGTGCGACCGCCTGCGCACTGGTTGACGTGGTCACGACTTCGTCGAGCGTTCGTGGCTTCGCTTCCAAGAAGGACAAGAAGAAGAAGGGAAAGAAGGGTGGCGACGATGCCAACTTCGAGCAGATGCTGCGTGCTATCAAGGGCCAGTACCCTGACGCGTACGTTGCAATCGAATATTATAGTGTAATGCTGTTATTATGCACTAAATCTTGTTGTGGATATTTTTGCAGAGAGGAGTGGACAGAGGAGGAGAAGCAGCGCCACCAGGAGATCGGCCGTCGCTACAACATCATGAGCAGCATTGAGCACAACCACCTTATGCGCGACCTGCAGACTAAGATCGACCTCAAGTGGGAGGCCATTAACGCGCTACCCGCGGAACTACAGGACGAGGCACTGGAAAACGATGTCTCCCCCGTGCCGGAGGAGCGTGGCATGGCCACCTGGACGCCCCCCATCCCGGGCTTCCGGCGATACACGGATGAAGGAGCTGAGAGCATGGACTAAGGTTTTTAGCACGAATTTCCTGTGGCAGGTTACAGTCGTCGTTATACAGAGGAAGCGGCAAATAGAACGAGGTGGAATGTGCAATGCTGGTGTTGGACTATGATACTGTGTGGCGTGATTTACAAGCTGCGTTGCGCTTCATATGCGTCTTCCGGAATTGGAGTTTTCTCTTCTTCTGTGTCTTTTTCTGGGTCATCGGTTTCTTTATCAATGCGAGTTGCAGCGGGCTGCTTGTTCCACCACTCGCGGACGTTGCGCTGGATCACCAGTGATGCTAGAGCATGCGCTTTCATACGCGCAAAGTTCTTGCGGCAAAGCACACCGCGTGTAGCGGCTTGGAACTTAATTGCGACGTGCTTTGTCTGTAGGAAACTGCGTCGAGCCAGCATGCTGCGTGTCGCTGCCTGGACGGTCACAGCGGCACGCTCACGTTCTGATAACTCACTAGATACCAAAGAGCATTGCTCGGCTGCTTCTTGTTGCTTCTGCTGGTCCTCGATGCTCTGCGTGGCTTCACGGAGCTGTTTGGTCGTTTCGCGCATGTTCTTGCAATTCCGCTTGAGCAACCATGCTCGGATGCCATGCTGTAGAACCTTCACCTCATCTTCCAGTGACTGTCTTTCTTCTGGCCCCATGAGTTCCATCGCTGCTTGGAGTTTGTTCAAACCCTCCTCGTCTTCGGCAATTACGCTCTGAACATCCGAGTCGTTCTCTGCTCCTGACAGCACTAACCGTGCGCCAACAAGGTTGGCGTCCATGCCAACCATACTTGCTGGAGATGAACCAAAACCTGCCGATGTTCCCGTGCTACTACTGGGTGAATTAATTAGAACGTCTTCTCCAACGCTGCTTTCACGACGCCTGGATACGTGACCCCCCGAGTCTCGCGATATTGTCAATGAAAGCGCGCATTTATCGTGCAAACTCATCGTAGAGAAAGCTCCAAGCAGAAGCTTCCGATTGTGCTCTTGATTCGCTCCCACCTGCGAAACATTTCCATTACCGTTAGCAATCCAACACAGTAGCATCTCTCAACTATAGGTAACTCACATAAGACGTCATCTTCGACGACAAATTTGACTCGCACGGACTCTCACAACTGTTCGAGTGGGAACGCGGTGGATGAACATTAGACGCCACGTGATCATTTTCTGCTAAAAGGCCCATATCTCCAGCATCAGTGTACGGCGTTGGGGCGTCATCAATCTCCATCGGTGATCCTCCAAAGCCATATATCTCGTCAACAGTACTCAAGTCACTCGAATCATCGCCCATGTGATGGTGCAATTTTGCAGCAACGTCTGCGTGACCTGACTTCTCTGCGCGATCAGCAGCCGTAAGGCCGTCAAAGTCGCGCACTTGTAAGTCCGCTCCAGATTCCAGTAATACATCTACTACTTCGTCGTGGCCGCACCCTGCTGCTAAATGAAGTGCTGTCTGACCTTGCGTACTTTGCTGGTTGATATGTGCACCATGTGCAACCAGTACCGGCACCAACTGCGAGTAGTTGTAAAAACTCACGTAATGCAACAAGCTCAATCCAGTTTCGTCGAGGGAGTTGAGCTCGTCCAGCAGTTCTTCGCTCGTGTGCGCGACCGTGATAAGCTGACGCACGACACGCTCGAGTAGTTTTTCCGAGAGCTGCTCCAAATCGTTGTCACTTAGTGTCTCAATAGTGCAATCGTCCAATGCAGTCGACGAGTCTGAAGATTCTGTCTTGACGCTTGATTGCTGAGGATGAGCCACTTGACTAGTCGATGAACCCGAAGTTGGCAGCGTGGTCGGTAAGGACGAGTTTTCTTCTCTCCGTAAAGTAGCATTCCTGTCGTCACTATCGCTTCCAGCAAAAGCTGGCGGGTCAATGGGTGCAGGTTCCGCAGTTTTGGTGCGAATTGCCTGGTGGAATTCAGACAGACGCTCTACCACCCGAATCTTGCATTGCCGCTCGTCCACTGAGCACAAGGGACAACGAAAAAGTGTGAAAATTCAGGATGATAAGCAAGCATCACAATAAAATCGAAAACTTACAATCTGACTCGACGTATGTCGATAGATTTCGATTTGATCCAGTAAATTTGTCCTCTGATCGCTTCATGACCGGACTTTGGGACAGAACAGTCGGTGATCGACCTCTCTTACCGGTGCCGAAGGCACTAGGGGTACTTGGTGTTGTAAGATCCAAAGGATCTATCGCTCCTGCTTCAGAAACGCGTTTATCTCTTGCAATGCGCCCAATCAGCGAAGGCGACACCTGATAATGGCTCCGATATGTGAACTGCTTTTTGTGGGTTAGCTGTATGCATTCCAATGATCCACCGAAGTGGCACACAAACATGTCCACACTTCCAAGCTCTAGCGAACTTGGAGCTGTAGCAAACAGTGCACACAATGTTAAAAAGGGTTAGTGTCAACCACAGCTGCAAAATCGGTAAACAATATTCAGTTTGTGGACGCACCAGTGCAGCGCAATACCGTCTCCGATACTTTCTCTGCGCGAGCTCGTTTCATTCCAAACTGCACAAACAATTTCATCGGATCTAGAGCCAATCTTTCAGGAAGCTTTGCTGCCAGACAGATGAGAACTTTGGCTCCGCCGTCTCCGAAGTCCCAGTCAGGAGAAAAGTCTGAAATTTCGACCAGTTCAAAAGTCTGTTGACCTCCCAAGCCGCTAGTGTCTTTTTCTGGCGATGTCGCCGAAGCCAGATCATTGAACAAATCGTCGGCACTGATTTCCTCCATTGCACTGTCCTTCAATAGTTGTAGATCTGCATCAGACATATTGAGCGAAGAAGTCTGGTACAATGCACCGTGAGGCTCGAAATCCATATCAAAACAGTCTGCGAACAAATACGAGGGTTAGAAATTGAGAGCTGCGAAGATGAAGAAGCCACCTGCATACTTTTCATGATGGAATCTACCGTTTCTTCCGATGACAATGGCTGCGGTGGACTGGGTTGTCTTAGGGGTATGACACCCCTGGTTACAGCAACTGGTAGCGACCGTTTAACCCCCTTGCTTGTGCTTTGATTGGTTTTGATTGAAGTCAAAGACAATTGACGAATCGCAGGATCCTTGTTGGCTTCGTCGAAGTAGTGGACGAGGACGATAGTATCCTTGGAGTCGCGCACTGAATAAATCCTCCGATGGAATGTCTGTAGTCATGAAATGTTAGCAAAGCGTCTAGAGCTCCAACTCTGGTATATCCAACGTACAGAAGTCTCGGCAGAGTGCACGTATGTCCCTAAGATGATGACTTCTCGGTTGATCACGAGTTTGGCGCGGTCCTCACGCACCCGTCCGCTCTTGTCCTTGCGCTTCTGCCAATGCCAGCCATCCCTCTTGTAGTCCGATATCTTCTGCGTGTCATAGAACAGCAAGGTACCGCCTATTGGCAATGATAAAATATGAGTTAGCCGACGCGCCTTAGCGACCACGCGACGATGGAACCTACTTGGCGGCCGCAACTGCAGCGAGTGGAGAATCGGCACGCCCACCAGCTTGTAATGCAACAGCAGGAATATCAGCTCGTCCTTCACGAGCCACCGCCGAGTCGCTTCCTGGCGCAGAGAGGCTGCGCGCGCTTGAATACCATCGCCTGAGATCATTCGCCGCTGGCCGCCGTAACGTCGTCTGTGGCTTGGCTTCAAGAGGACGCTTAGCAGTACCGTACTTGTCGGATTAATGTCTGTAGCATTGTCGCAGATTTGAGCCGTGAACAACCAGGTATGCGAGAACGGAGTGATCAAATTGAAAAAGCAGCTGAGCTCGCTAGGATCCATCCTTGCTGCAAGCCATCCTAACCTGCGAAGAATTGCAGGCCATCACATCTCTCAGTGTTGCGCTCTCATGTCCACTACTCATGTCAAAATTTACTGTGATCTTGATCCAGGTTAGAAAATGAGTTTGCCTTTGCAACCCTATTGAGCTGCCAGAGTTGGCATGACTATTGAGCTCCATCATCGCACTACTCACTGCGTGGTGCTCCAACTTGGAGCTTCCAAGAGCCTCGTTACATGTAGTTCAAGACGTCGTGGTCATTTGATGAATCTCTTTGTGAGCCAGTACACCTGAAATCATCTACGAAGTACATCCTGTCCAAATCATACCAAGGAAGAAGATTGGGTGCACAAATGCAGGTACCAAACCTTTTGCTTGCCTACGTGGCTGTAGTTGAATTTGCTTTGTTGCTTCCTATTTTGCACCATTCTGAAGTGAAGGCTCTATGTGATACACTCGGCCAGGCGCCACGCCGCCAAAATGTGCCATTTGCGCTGCAGTGCGCTGCTTCTTGCTCCGCATTTTCATTGCATGCCACGCCACGCGCTCAGGGTCTTTGAAATCGGCCACCTTCCAGATAACACCGGGTACTCGGATGAGCTTCGCTCTTGTAGGAACTTGTACGTTGGCAAGAAGCTGCTGGTACACTGAGATTGTAGATACCTCTTCGTCTCCACCAGCGGGGCCAACACCCTCGACTTCTAGACGCAACGCGTCCCCCATGAGTACGAAACCTATCTTGGTCAATTGCTGCAAGTTCCAAAGCGCTAGCGTATTCCAGGGCGATGTCAACCCACTCAATTCCAGCGGCTGCACTGCTGGATCAGGTTGGAAAGTGTGCCCGGGCAATGCTGAGCCCACGACGAGATCGTGGTTTAGATCAAGGTTCGAACGCAGCAGCGCCACTCCAGCCGCATCCACCTTAATCTCCAAAGACTGGAGCAGCAGCATGTCAGCCTCCGGGTAGTGGTCGGCGGCTGTTCCAATCAGAGCATTCAATGCCGGCACGAACTTGCCCCAGAACAGCATGGGAATGATCTCCACCTTGCCAGCAATCGCTCCCGAGTCCACGTCTTGCTGCAGTCTTGTCAAAAGCTCCCGCACCGAATCAACGAATGCACTTGCGGGCAAGAACGAGTCTGCAGCGCCCGAGGCAGGCACTCCTGTTATCGTTGAAGTAGGAAGCCCCACAGCGATGAGAATACCGCCGTCCGCATACGTCGCTGCATAGGCGCAGAACTCGCGCAATTGACCCAGCAACTCCTCCACATTAATCCGCTCGTGCTGCGAGTGGCTTTGCCAGTGCAATCTTGTGCCAACCACTATCTTGCCATGCATGCTTGTAGTGTGTCTTGCTCCCGAGTCTTCCAGTTGGACGTACGTTTTCACGTCACATCGCGCGGTATCAGATTCAGAAGTGGGCCTCCTCAGGTTCTCTACAACAAGTGATCACAGTTTACTAAGGTCCACAGCAAAGTACCATTGAATAACGCTTCTAAGCTAGGTTTACAACGCTTCCTCCTCACGCCTCCAAGTGATACACGCAGCCGGAGGCCACACCACCGAAGTGAGCAAGTTGCGCAGCTGCGCGCTGCTGCTTACTAGCCATTTTCTTCTTATGCCACTCGAGACGTTTGGGGTCTTGCAATCCGTCCACTTGCCACGCGATGCTGGGTACGCGCACCAGCTTGGCTGTCGTAGGTGACGTCCCGTTGGAGTAAAGCTGTTGATACATGGCGATTGTGGCGACTTCTTCGATGCCAGCGGCCGACCCAATCCCGTCGACCTCGAGACGCAATGCATCCCCCATGAGTGCAAATCCCACCTTCGTCAGTTGTTCCAGATTCCAGAGTGCAAGCGTGTTCCACGGCGACGTTAAGCCACTCAGCTCGACTGGTTGACTCGACGGATCGGGCTGGAAGTCATGGCCAGGCAGCATCGCGCCCACCACAAGGTCACGTTCGATATCAAAGTGCGAGCGTAGGGAAGTCACACTAGCTGCATTAACGTCAATCTCCAGTGACTGCAGAATCAGAGTGTCGGCCGCGGGAAAGTGGTCGGCAGCCATTCCAACCAATGCGTTCAGGGCTGGAACAAACTTGCCCCAATGAAGCATCGGGATAATCTCCACTTTGCCGACGAGGGTTCCAGCAGTCACCTCGCTCTGCAATTTGGTCATGAACTCGCGCACAGACTCGATAAAGGCGTTTGATGAGGGTGCCTCTCCATGAGCGGCTGTGATAGAGTCGGCAATCGCTTCGGGCAGCCCCACCGCAATAAGAATCCCGCCATCCGAGTACGTGGCTGCGCGAGCGCAAAAGGTGCGCACTTGGCCCAGCACCTTGTCGACATCGATGCGGTCGCTCTGCGAGTGGCTGTGCCAATGCAGCCTCGTACCAACTACAGTCTCCCCTCCCATTCGTGTTTGTTTGCAAATTGCTACACGATCTCTCACATCTGATTCCAAAATCTGAGAATAGCACTTCAACATGATCTGACATGTGAACGATTCGATGGCAACGATGAAAGACCAAAACGTTTTTCTATTTTAGCATTTACCATAGGTATGTGTCAATGACAGCACTTGTCGTCAAGGTGCGCTTCTTGTCCTAGAGTTCAGTCACTTGGGCGTTAATAGTAGTCACGGTGGGGGGGTGGAGGGCCATATCCTGGTGGTGGTGGTCCGTATCCTGGCGGCGGGTACTCGTAGCCTTGTTGCACAACCACTGGTTGAACGTACACTTGTTTCGGGGATCGCGAGTCGTAGTCACGAGGATCCCTACGGTCATTGTCCCCAGCCGAGGCGGCCGAAAGACAACATGAAGCGCAGCACATGCCTGCTAGGCATGCGCAGCAATCGTCGCCATCAGGGCAGCACATTGTAGTCTTGTCGACTACACTGGTGGGGTTCCTTTCGTGTTGTTACTCTCGAGCTTCTTGCACTTGCTCTTCTGCTGGTGATTCTCGCAATGAGATAGCTTTTGGTGTTCCATGAACTAGGCTCTTCTTATGCGCTATCATGTTTGATCAAGCCTGTGACTTGTGCACACTTGATAATATTAAAGTCGGTTGTGTCTCAGCAACAACAAAAAACGCGTTGATGCTTGGAAATTAACCCACATCAAGCGTGTCATAATCGCCAGCAACTGGATATCGCTGCTACTGCTTGTCAAGCAGTGCCTGAGGACGCTATTGGCAATGCAATATATTCATTATCCACTGATGAGCTGCTCCTTTTTGGTCCGTAACCATCTCCGGCACGCAGCTTTCTTCAAGTTCGTCCATGCCGTCGCTGGAGCATAACTCTCGTCGTCCCTTCTAGGCGTTCGAGTGCACTTGAGGCTGCGGCGGGCGGATCTGGGACATCACCACGGGCTGCACAGTCACGTCGCGTGATGTTTCGTAGTCGCGGCGACGAGGGTCGTCTTCAGCGAGGCGCCGGCGGCTCGTGTCGTTTGTGGAGGTTCCTCCGCTGGCGCAGCAGGTCGCGCAGCAACTCCGTGCGAAGCATGAACCTGCGTTCTCAGGCATGGTCAGTTCTCGCTTCCTTACCAATACGTGATAGAGACGTTCTTCAGAAGTGTAGCCCGACGAGGGAAAAGAAACCAAATGGCAAATCGTCAGCTGCGACTTTGAAGTTGATAGCGATGTTCAGAGGCAAGCTCACATGAACTTGATGGAATTACCGGGCGCATGCAAAACGCTGGCCCGGATGTGTGCTACAGAGATATTGCTAAAACGACAGCGCCCTAAGCCATTATATGAACTACCACCCCATCTCAGTTCTTGCGGCCGTTCTCATCGAGGAACGTCTTCATGACCGACATCACCGCGGAAGTCAGCGCTTGGCGGTCCTTCTCGCGCTCCGCTCGCTCGCTTTCCAACGCCCGCTCTCGCCGTTCTGCCTCCAGGCGGCGCTCTTCACGCTGCAGCAGCACCATCTGCTCAGTGGTCCGAGTCTGTTGATCCACCATCTCCTGGATCAGCGCCTTGAGCTCAGCAATGTTGGTAGGGTCCGTGCCACTCGTTGATTTTTCCACCTTCGCCGGACGAGGCTCAGTCGTAGGGACGACGAAACTCTGCGATGACGTGGGGGCCGGCGACGACGACTCGCTCGGGGTACTACTAGTAGAATCCTCGTCCTGGTTGGTAGAAGAATGAGGGACCTCTCGGGAAGTCGCATCGGTCGTGCCAGTAGCGATCGCCACGCTCTGCGCGAGCTGGGCAGCGCTGACTGGGTCTCCACCGTCCAGTAGCGACACTAGCTCCGTCATGAGCACTTCAAGTTCACCCGCAGGAACACCCTTCGGTCCAACCACGCGACCGTTGTTGCGTTTGACGCGTTCACGGTACTTGGACACGAGGTTTTCGAAGCGGTAGCGCACGATGGGGCCCTTGATGTTGTCCTTGGAGAACTCTGAGCAGTTGTCCAGCTTGGCCGCCACGTCTTCCCACGCCGCCGAGATGGCGCCAAACTTAGCGCGGAATGGCAGTGACTCCTTTACAAACTTGATAAGCAAGAGGTCATCTCCTGGAGTGAACCGTTGGCGAGTGGCCTTGGTTGCAGTGGGCAGTGCCTGGTCCTCAGAATCCACGAGGAGTGAAGTGGACGACGGCTGAGGTCCCAATGGGGACGGAGCAATGGCCACCTGCGCAGACGCCGGCACCGGCTTCTTCCCAGCGGGTTCTTCGCCATCCTCCGGTCGGATCTTCCGGGGGCGACCGCGCTTGCCCAACGTCTGAGCCTGCGGCTCCTTCTCGGCAGCCTCCAGCTTGGGAATCACCTCGACCATGACACTCTGGAAGGCAGTATCCTGTGACGGCGCGTCATCCGGGTGGCTGCCATTCTTGACCCAGTTGCGGTGGCGCTCCACGAGGCGCTCGAAGCGGTTCTTGGCGATGGGACCCTTGAGGTGGTGCATCTTGAAGGCGCTGCAGCCATTGAGAGTCGTTGCGATCTTCTCCCAGCCGGCCATCAGTCCGCCGTACGGTGCACGGAACGGCTGGTCCGTGTTTACCTGCACGACCAGCAGGTAGTCCTGGCTGGGCCCGAAGCGCTGGCGGGTTCGCTGCTTAGGCGGCATGTTGTAAGCAGGCGCTGTAGGTTCTTCCCTTTCGCGGTTTTTTCGTTTTTTGATTCCAACTCTTCCGAGGTCCAAAACTAGTGTCATCCGAAACCTATGATAATCACGGTGCTGTTTGTATAGTTTTGACAGTGCGCATTAAGAAAGTTTTAATGAATTAATATAATGTTTGCAAGTATCAATGAAACAGGTTCAACAGGTTTGCAAATACCGATGCGGGATGCAAAACTGGCGATACACTTTGGCTTCAAGTCTGTTCATCGTTGGCTACAGCGAGACGAGCACTCTGTGGGACCTGTTCAAGATAATGTTCTGCCTACCTCTGCCTTTCAACACTTAAAACGCTACTTCACTCGTCAACATGCAAAAATGCATTGGGAAAGATGTACAATGCCGTTCGTTTTGCTGACCCGGAGCATGGCAGAGTTATCAAAGGATTCATATTGCATTGGTGTACTTGACTTGCTAGGTACAATAACAAATTCGATATTGTGAATTCCGTCCAAATTTGCCGACATGGGTCTTTTTGAGGAGCGGGAGGACAATCACCCACATACAAACCCAAGTCATTAGTAAAAATTTTCTTGCCACCTTATTTCGTACTTAAACGGGTCAGTATACGGAATTGTAAACGCTGGGCGATTTGGGGGAGATTCATTCAAAGAACCGTCCTGTCCAATTTTGAGTAGAACCCACAGTACCAAGACTACATAAGAAAGCTGTGGATACTTAGGTTACTCCACATGTCAACTACCGGGATGTAGCATTCATGACAACCTTAAACCTCTTGCTTGTGCGAGTACCATTATGTACGACGCATGAGCACGTCCGTTTATCGGCCTCTGCTGCACGGGATGTACACACAGCGACTACCGCTAGACTCGATCGTGCAGCAGGCGGACGCTGCCTTAGCCTCGTCATGTTTATTTATTTAGACAGCTTTTGTCTCCAAAAGCGATGGTCATATCGTCGTGAGTCCGTACAGCGGGATGTTTTCCAGCGAATCCTAAAGTAACATTTCATGCGCCGATAGTGAGTCAGTTTTTGGTATCAGCTGCAACTCAGCAAGTCAGAGAGCAAACATACCGTTGAATGCAGCGAATTGATCACGCAGCCGCACTCTACCACCTCTCCACCGAGCTTTTCGACGAGCTCGACCGTCACCCTGAGTGTTTTGCCCTAGAGAATAACATCAGTAAGGCTTGCTGCGACTTCTAAAATATCATAGTATAAAGAAAGCACAGTTTGCCGTACAGACGCAACCAAATCGTCGATAATGACAACGCGTCCTCCGTTGGGGATGGCGTCTTGATGAACCTCCATCCGACCGCTGTAATAACCCGACACATAATCCACGCCAACGACGTCTCCTGGTAGTCTCCGGGTACGACGCACTGGCACAAAAGCAGCCTCAAGAGCAAGCGCCAATGGAGCTCCGAAGATAAACCCTCTCGATTCAGTACTAACTACGTGCGTGATACCCTTGTCCTCATACCGCAGTTTGAGAGCGTCAATGGCAACCTGGAAGGCAATGGGATCCAACAGGAGCGAGGTGACGTCGCTAAAGTCCGCGCCAGGCTTGGGGAAATTGCTGTACACACGTATTTTCTCCTTGATATAGGCAGAGACTTCCTCCTCGTTAGTTAGATCCGCCGGCGGCGACCGCATTGCCAGCTTCTCGCAACTCATCGTTTGTGCGCGTTGAATGCAACACTGGACTAAACATTTAGTTTAATACACATTTATTGTCCAAAATAGTCCAATGCGCAAATTGCGCCTCATCATGTTCGCAGCAGGGCGGACGGCAGCAACACACGATGTCGATGCAGACGCTGAAGACGCCGTCAATGGTGGGTTGTCTGCATGGCTGCTGAATTATACTAGTGCTACTATGCTAATGTTGTGGTGCCTACGTCCTCAGATTGGCTGAGCGTTGGTAAGAGCTTTTCCAGTGGCAAAAGTGATGACATCGCGAAGATGACAGAAGATGTTGCCGACTCGTCCGAGTCTGCATTGCAAGTTTACAAACATCGCCGAAGTAAACACCGCCATAAAGAGAAGAAAATACACAAGGAGAAGAAGCGGCGCAGCGAGGAGTCGGCGGCCGTGACATCGCGCGAGAGTCGCCACCTCGCCAAGCGCAAGAAGAAAAGCAAGGACAGGAAACGGCGCAGATCGTGGAGTCGCTCCGATAGCAGTGATGATGACGATGAAAGGCGTCAGTCTAATCACCGCTCTCGACAACGACATCGTAGCCGTAGTAACTCTCAGTCTCGATCCCAGTCGTGTAGTCACAAGGAGGAGACGCGGATTGTAAAACAGCCTGCCAAAGATGTTGTTGTCCAAAGCCAAAATGCTGGAGAACAGGAAGACAAACTCTTCGAGTTCGATCGTGTAGGCGATCGCGATAACCAATTCTTTGGATCGACGTATGCCCATGATCAGCCGTTGTACGAGTTGGCTACAAGACGGAACTTGCGCACCGGTGCATGGGTATCCCAAGCTCGGCCAAAATACACCAGCAGTGACATGCCCGGCAAGGAGAAGTATAATCAAAACGGAGACCGGTATTTCTCGCTGCAGGCACGAAAACTGGAGAAAAATGCTCGACAAAAGCGTCTGTATCTTGCCTACTCGGAGAAAAGATTGTCTCGCGCGACAGCTGAAGACAAACTGGATCAACCAAGCCAAGCTGCTAACCTGGTTGTGACCCATCGTCCACCTGAAATGGCGTACATTCCACTTGACCCGATACTTGATGTGGTGAGTGATAGCATGGATGAGGTGTCCAATTCAAGTAACGGCATGAACGGAATCTTACTAACTGACGGGCAAAGCGTGGAGCAACACCTAGTGGAACGCAGCAAATTGCTCAACTCTGCTGTTGCAGCAAACCCGCACATTATTGACAGTTGGCTCGATTTGATGGCTTTCCAAGAGCAGACAATGCGGCTTCAGGCCAACACGAAAAGATTGAGTTCAGCAATGAAAGCAAGCATTGCGGAGAAGCAAGCTGCTATTCTCGCCAGAGCGCTTGCTAACAACCCACAGTCACGGGAGTTGCATTGTGTAAAACTGAACATGTCGTTGCAGACTCAAACGAGTGGTGAGGGTGGAGATATGGAATCGTTTCAGCGGCAGCTTGAGAGTCTCCTCTCTGAAGATGTGACGAACAGCGAGCTGTGGATCAAGTTGCTTCAAAGCCGCCACCAACATTTTGGTAGCTTCTCCATGCAAGCTGTCCGCGATCTCTACGCGCGTATCATTACTGTTTTAAGAAAAGAGTGTGCAAATGCTGCAGAAACAGCGACCGAGCTCGCACCACCAGTTCCAGACGCAAGTGAGATAGCCAAGATCTCCACACAAGCGGGGGAGTTATCAGTATCGTTGCTCGATTTTCATTTTCTTATGTGCCAGTTTGAGAAAAGGGCAGGCTTCATCGAACGCTCGATCGCTCAGTTGCAAGCTCTGATTGATTTTACCTTTAATGGGAGTGCAGTGGTTGATAGGTCTAGCAACAAAGAGGATCACTTGGAATTGTTGCGAAAGTTTGCGTTACGGTGGAATAAGGAAGGTACACTTGCAGTTGGTGACGAATGGAGTGGTAAGACGGAATTGAGCAGTGGAGTACTACTGGAAGAAAACTCTCCAAAGCCTTCGCCGGGTCAGCTCCAAGATTACATTCAGAAAAATTGTGTCACCACTGTCGATCAAGTGAATCCTCCTGAAGTGCTGCGAACTGAAAAGCACAGACAGAGCCTGTTGTCAGCTTCTGCAGCATACCAACGTCGATCGCGCAAAAATGATGGAAAAGGTGCCGCAGGTAGCAAAAATGATAACAACGAGGTTGACTCGGATTCATCAACAAGTGACGACTCGGAGGCGGAATCCAGACGAGGTGGCAAATTAATCTATAGCAACTTGCACGGGTATCGCATTAACATCGATGATGCCAACGATACGAAAGAGTACGAGCGTATTCTTGCCGAGTTACGCGGAACGGAAAATGCGCGTGCTCGACAAGCTCAACTGCTTGAAAAAGAGAAAATGAAACGGGCAGTACTGGCAGAGACAAAGTCACAAGTGGGGGACCAGCGTGCAAGTTACGATTCAGTGGATGGAAATGACCGGTATCTACAATGGCTTAACCGCGAAGAAGTGCAGACACAGATGCAATGGGCCCCGCTGCGCTCAAACAACCCTCTTCACCAAAATCTTATTGAGGAACAACCAGACCGCGCCACACTAACCGAAGAGATCCAGCCCTTTTTGTTTCCTGTTCCGAAGGCATACCAATGGAGGCTTATCGTCGAAATTCTGCAGATATGCGGTGTCGAATGGCGAGGTGAATACTCTTGGGAGACTAGTCTCCCAGCTTGTGAGTCAATGTACTCTGACAGCCCTGCCGACTATGAACTGCTCGTGGCTCCGATATTGTCTGTGGTTGACCCACAAGTTGGCAACTCCGACAAGCACAAACTGTTTCTTGATCCATGTGACCGAAAGAAGTTGCTCGAGCGTGCCCTTCTTGGAGACATTGCAGTGAACCGAGATGTGCTGTGTGACCCTAGCAGGGTGGAGTTTGTCCGTCGAGTATTTTCACAAGCGTTGGATATATTCCGCGATACGGATGAGGATTTTGAAAGCGCCCTAAAGTGCTTGTGGATTGGCTTCGAAGCTGAGCTTTCACGTTCGATCGGTGCTCCAGAGGAAAGCATAGCATACTGTCGGCATCTGAGTCGAATCTTAGCAAAACGAGGCACGGACGGCGACACAGATTTTAATGTTTTGCACGCCTACGCCAAGCTAGAATTTACTCTGGGAAACGAGCGCCAAGTTCGACGTATTTGCGAGAATGCGCTTAAGTCACTTGGGGAACTCTCCATAAACAACATGCGATCGGCTAGAGCTTTCCATCGCTTTGTCTTTCTTCGCGCACGTCTCGAGATGTGGCCCTCCTCTGGCGAACGAAAGAAACCCGGTGACTATGGACAGCTTCGTTTGTTGCGGTGTCTCTATGCGCTTTGGAGTGCGAGGCAACCTGGTAAATTGGGCGACAAGGGGAAGGAAACGCTGGTTACGATTGCAAAAAAGTACAAGAACCGGATTCGAGACTACTTGCACGAGCAGTTGATGTCCGATCCGTCGACTAAAACTGATCTCATTGCGAAATATCGTGCGGATCTCCACCTTGCAGTTCGGCAGTGTGATGAGTCTGCCGTACAAAGTTCTAAAGCAAGCCTTCGATCAAGTTGCTGGGTTGGCTACTGCTTGCACAACTTGGCCCTCATAGTTTACGCCTATGACGGATTTGATGCAGCTTGTCGTGAATATCGTCAAGCCTTTTCCAACGCAGATCACGGGGCTTGCTCACATGTAGCATGGATGTGGACTTGCTTCCTTGAATTCATGCAGCAACATCAAGTATCGGGCTTATCTCCTGTGCTTGCTCCTCGTGTGTGGCGTTCATCAGTCGGTGAAGCAGTGGAGAAATACCCGACCAACGAGATATTCCTTCGACTCTTCGTTGATGCCGAGACAGGGAACACCATTTCGCAAGTGCTTCGCAATTACTTCCTTCGGGTAGAGAAGAGATGGCAACGGCATTTCGATTCACCGGAATTGGTGGAATGGTTATTCGCGTTGCTTTGTGAATTTTACCGCGTTGAGCGAGCTGCGACGATTAAAGAATTATCGAAGAGTGCAGAGTCAGGTATCGACAGATCCTCTCATCCGACATGCTGTCTTTTTCATCGCTGGGGAATGAACTTGACCGCAGTTAACCGGATCCGGCAAATGTTTGAAAATATGGTGAATCAGATTCGAACGAAGGGCAGCGCGCTGTGCTGGGGTCTATACATGCGCTTTGAAGTTGCGCTAGGAAAGGTGGATGCGGCGAAGAAGGTGTTATACCGTGGGATCGCAGCTTGTGCGTGGAGCAAAGCATTATACATGGATGGACTGCGCGTGCTACGCGCTTATTTGAGTGAAGACGAATGCCAGGAACTTCTCGCATTTATGGAGGCAAAGGAGCTGAATTTGCGCGTTGACTTTGACTGAATAAACAACCAAAATTAGCGCACTCTTGAAACTGAGTCAAGCAATGTCTACTTGTGTCCGTCATGCAGAAACGAGAAGGAGGCGTTGGGATGGGTAATAGGAAGCGTGAAGAAGCAGGTAATGTCAGTATAAATGACAAACCAAGCTAGGCATTTAGAGAACTTGCTGACGATACCTCTTGTGGCTTTCATAGGCTTGATTGAGCGCCTAGCTGGCTGTAGTGGAACGAACTGGAGTGTGTCTAGCATCTTGAACGAGGTTTTGCCGGAGCAAAGACATTTATATGCGGCACGATACTTGCTGGAGCCCAGGCTGCAAACAGATAAAACTATTGACAACAAGAAGCACTGGACAACGAATACTGAAGACAAAGTCAAGCGCAACATATCGGTGGCTCCGTTACGAGCACCCCCTCACTCTTCGATGGGATCGTCACGGGTTGATGCATCGATGATGCAACCTCTCGTACTGTCTTCTGACAACAGCACGGGCGTGTATACACCGACAAATAGCTTACGAGGGCATATGCTTACGATCTGGGAGGACAAATTTCGCTTTAAGTGTTTGGCAGTGGAAGATATTATGTTTTTGCTTGCACACCCAAGTGTGGCTGACACGCTTGAAAGCGCGAGTTTTCTAAGAGAAGCTAATCTAACCTATGACCAAGTCATGGAGCTAGAGATGGCTCTTGTCATGCTTTGTCAGCAAGGCAGGTGGTCTAATGCTCACTTTACTAACTTATCATCCCTCTCACTGTGTGATAAGTTGGCGCGAAATACATGGATTCACGGTCGAGCTTTACCCGCTTCGCGTTCAAGATGCATGATGCTCCCAGAGGTATTAGTGTTGAAGCGAGCACCGCCTCGCATCGTAGCACGAGCAAAATTTCCGTACAAGCAAATAATGATACCGATGAAAACGGGCCAAACTCCTGCCACTCTAAAGACAACAGCTCCACAGCAGATCGGTTGCCCACTCGAAATCCGGGAATGGGTCCGTGATCATTGCATGGAAGAGATGACCCGCTCCTTGGCAATGAGAAAACAATTCGCAGTCGAAAAGATATGGGTAAAGAAGAACTCCTTCAACTCGCGTTATTATCCGTGTTTCCCTAACTTTTTTCGCTCAGATTGTCGTATCTAGAAATCTTTACCAATCCATACGCCGACGGTTTGCTCATTGGCGCCAGCAAGCGATGTGGATGCAATGTCAACAACAAACCCGCAGGTTTTGCGAGCTGTACGTGTCAGTAATCAAGTAGTTTTATTTACTAGAAACACTAATTCGTTTTCTTACTGACAGGAAATGCGCGCTGTGGGTTCTTCAGAGATCGCGGAGGAGGTTAGCATATTTAGTATTTCGATTGTGGGGTCGATGGATGTCAGATGTAGCTTGTCAACATGAGGACGAGACTATTGCTGCTGTAATTGCCATTCAAAGTTGGATACGTGGTGTGAACGGTAAACGAACAGCGGCTGTTCACCATCTGCATCAAGCCTCATCATTGATCCAAGCACAATGGCGAGGGTTTCATGCTAGAAAAATGCTCAAGCGAAAGAAACGTTTTGTTGCCTATAGTGTGGCTGCGCGTCGGGTCCAACGCTTCTACCACTCATATATTTTTCGAGTGCGTTGTGCAGTTTGGATGAAGCGACAGCGAGCAGCTCGTGTAGTCACGCACGCATTTGTGAGGTATATCGAGAAAAAGCGGGATTATCTAGCATGGATCCACAATGTCAAAAGATATCGTGCAGCAGTCTCCATTCAGGTTTGGATACGACGCAAGAGAAAGCGGATCGCGAAAGCCAAATCGAAACACGAAAGGCAAGTAAACGCAAGACGAGTGCTGCATAAATTTCTCCGATACGCGCGGTTCATACGCAGCTTTGGGCTACGGGTGGAAAGCGCGGCGAAGAGGAAAACCGCAGCTGCTGTATTGCTGCAGAATGCGTATCGAGCTAAGCAAGCGCGAGCTCGTTTCTATAAGTTGAAAGTTCGTCTGGAGGATCAGCGCCGTCAGGAGATTTTAACACTAATGTGGAATAATGCGTACGCGACGACTATCCAAAAGTGGTGGCGGAAGCGAAAGCTCATGCGGCGACGACAGTAAGGATATCAACGCAGCTGCTGTCTCCGAAGTGGAAGCTATTGGCGAGGCCTTTAAGTAACACTATAGTTTGTTGCTTGTAAACGAGATGAAGTCACGGAGCTCTCCTTTCACTGCATGCAGGTTAGAAATGGCATCCCCAATCACTCACTTCGAAGTTGAAGTGATTCCGTACTTAAGTGAAACAGAGCCAATCTGAGTCAGACTCAGACTTCGCATCCTTTCCCCCTGATAAGAAGGTGTCATGGCGGAGAAGAGCGAGTTGCGCGTGCGCTGGCTGGTGCTGTTCCTGTCATGCGTGCTGATGATCGGCAACTACTACTGCTTCGACAACCCGGCGGCGCTCAAGAGCCAGCTGCAACAGCACTTCAACAACATCCCCAAGGATCGCTATGAGTTCCTTTTTGTACGTTCAATACCATGACATTCCCTGTTTCATGTTAATTATTATTTTCCTGAAGTCACGGATGCCTAAAAATTAAATTTACTGGGAACTAATTATTTTACGCTGCTGTAGAATTTGCTGTACACGCTGTATTCGATCCCCAACATCTTACTGCCGTTCTTTGGTGGTGTGCTCGTGGATCGCTTTGGTGCACGTGTGATGCTATTCGCCTTCTCGACGGCGATCTTGACGGGCCAATTGATTTTTGCAACGGGCTGCTCGCTCTCCAGCTTCAATCTTATGCTGGTGGGGAGGTCATTATTGCAGCATTCCATGATAACAAACGATTAACTTTTTGTTGTAGTTTGGGCGAGTGGTGTTCGGGTTCGGTGGAGAAAGCTTGGGTGTAGCTCAGGGGACGCTTGTGGCCTCCTGGTTTAAGAACAGTGAGCTTGCGCTCGCCTTGGGTATTAACCTCAGTGTTGCTCGACTTGGAAGTGTCATCAACAATGAGTTGAGCCCAATTGTTGCTCAAGCATCCAGTGTGTCGGCTGCGCTTTGGGTGGGTGTAATCATGTGTGTGGCATCCACCTTCACCGTGCTACTGGTGATTCCAATCGACAAGCGAGCCGAGAAGATGACAAAGGAGAACCAGAAAGAAGGGGTGACTGCTGCTGAGAGCATTCACTTCAGTGATATCAAACACTTCCGACCAGCCTTTTGGCTATTGGCGCTGAGCTGTTTGGTCGTCTACGGCTGCGTAATTCCTTTTAACAATGTTGCCAGCAGTCTCCTGATGGAGAGGGATTTCTTCAAGGAGCCCCCTGAGCTGTGTCGACGATGTGGAGAAGGACTTTATATTGGTGAAATCGATTGCCAAGAGATCGTTCCTGGATGTCCTAGTGTTCCTCCCTACGGATGGCCACTCCCTCTGCTATCGGCAAACTGTACGATCAAGGAACCCCTAGACCAGTGGAACTGCTCGACTTCACCTCCACTGATTCTTGGTGACAAGATTAATTGTGATAACGAAGCATGGAAGCTTGGCCCCCTGACCAAGACGTACTGTGCCACGAAGACTGATGCGGCCCAGAAGGCAGCCACACCAATGTCCATCCCGTACATTATCAGCGCGGTCATCTCTCCGTTTCTTGGATTCGTGGTCGACCGGATTGGTCTCCGCGCCTTTTTGGCGCTGGTGGCTCCTCTCGCACTGACGATAGTCCACGTCATGCTCGGACTGACTCAAGTATCACTTTATGTGCCGTTGGTGCTACAAGGCGTTGCCTACAGCGTGTTCGCCGCAGCACTGTGGCCCTCCGTTCCATGTACGTTCGTGTGCTGAGGTTTTAGACGAACTATCACGAATCTAATGGGTTGTCTTGGTCTATGCAGACGTGGTCGAGGCAAAACACGTTGGAACAGCGTACGGAGCGATCACTGCCATCCAGGTGCGATCCGTGTATTTAGCAGTAGTGACACCCTTCTATTGTATTGCTTTGTGTGATGGCTTATGCACTTGATTCTAACAAATTTCTTGCATGCATCTTTTAGAACATCGGGCTCGCGCTGTTCCCGCTGGCGGTAGCTGCCGAGTTCAATCATGACGACCGGTACATTCCAGGTGTGGAGTTGTTGTTCGTGTCGTTCGGTGTGCTGGGCAGTCTCGTGGGTATCGCGCTGAATGTGGTGGACTACCAGAACGGGTCCATATTGAATCACACAAACGCCAAGAAGAGAAGAGTATCGCTCATGCTGGACGAAGATGCACTCGACCAGGAGGCTCTGCTTGCGGCTGAGCACTAAAGTTGCAAGGTCGGGATTGTGAAGCCATTTTGGCAAGCCATCTTTACCTTCAATTATTGCGGCCCAAAAAGACGGCAAGGTACGGTATTATCGACTTCAAATCGACATATGTGTATGTGCTCAGAGCATGAAGGTGCGATTGTCTGCAACGACGCCCTGAAATACACGAGGCGCGATGGAGACTTTCTCTTCCGCCTCTGACTCTGCACATGACGTGCCTGATTGTACAGCGATTTAGGGGAGGCTGTAAAACGGAGTGGTAATTAGTCTCTACCTTAACCGATATCCTATCAGTTATCAAATCGTCCTCACGACTCTCCCTCCCCCCACTGACTCTCTCCCTACACAAAACGACACCAAAGCCCCGCCACAAACGAAGAACAGCGGAGAGGAGAGAAGTTCCCGAGGCGACTCGTCCTTCAGTCGCCTCGATCTCGACTCACGCGTTACCAGACACACAGTTCCTCTCTTTACCGCCGCTTATAAGCAGAGCTTTCTCCTCTCACAGTATCAGCCGCTAGTTAAACAATCATGGACGCGTACGAGCAGGTTCGCATCATCGGCAAGGGCTCGTTCGGCGTCGTGACGCAGATCATACGCAAGGCCGATCGTAAGGTAAGCTGCAGGGCATGGAACAAGCGTACAGGACACACTGGAGACAGCAGGACGTTAAACTAACGCTTGTGTTGCTGCAGATGCTGGTGTGGAAGGAAGTTAACTACGGTGCCATGAGTGAGAAGGAGAAGCAGCTTATCGTCAGCGAGGTGTGTCAGCACCACCATGTCTGGAAGCGGAGCACGAGTGCAGGTGCTGACGTTGTATGATATTGCAGGTGAATATCCTGAGGGAACTGAGGCACCCCCACATCGTCCGATACTTGGACCGAGTGATCGACAAGCAGGCAACCAAGATCTACATCGTCATGGAATACTGCGAAGGCGGTGATCTCGGCCAGTTCATCAAGAGAAAGAAGCGGGAGGGGTACGCCACTGTTCTATGCCAATCCTAAGAGCACATTTCAGTGGATTTCCTGACTTTTTTATTATTATTTATCGTCAGGTCCTACATCGAAGAGGGCTTCATCTGGCACATTTTCACGCACATTTTCCTGGCACTGAAGGAGTGTCACCGTCACCGCGAAGGCAACGTCATCCGCCCCATTCTCCACCGTGACATCAAGCCTGGCAACATTTTCCTAGACTCCAACGTACGATGGCATTTTCTACTATTTTCTCTTCTTTTTTTGTGTAGGTGTGTGCGTTGTATATTTCTGACAGGTTTTTGTCTTTTATTTACACACAGAACAATGCCAAGCTTGGTGACTTTGGTCTCGCGAAGGAGCTCAGCAGCGAGTCTCGATTCGCCCAGACGAACGTCGGCACTCCGTATTACATGAGTCCGGAGATGGTGAACGAGATGACTTACGACGACCGATCCGACATTTGGGCCCTGGGCTGTTTGCTGTACGAGATGGCTACACTTGGTCCTCCGTTCGACGCGACGAACCAGCTCGCACTAGCGAAAAAGATTAATGCAGGCAAGTTCACCCGGATCCCGTCGCAGTACTCGGAAGGTCTTTTCCAGGTCATCCGATGGATGCTGCACAGACAACGTTCTCGACGACCTAGAATTGAGGACCTGGAGCGTGTCCCACAGCTGCAACAGAGATTACGCGCGTACGCAGCGGCGAACAACCCACAACCTGCTGCCGATCAGAACTTGCAGACATCCTACAACCAGAAGATGAAGGAGTTGCTGGGAATTGAGGAGGATCTGCGTCGACAGGAGGCTGCTTTGATGGCTCGTGAGAAGAAGCTCAAAGGTGAGATGTGGAAGAGTTTTGTGCGCGATATGAACTATTGTTCTCATGTATTTTTTTATTGGACTTTTGCAGAGCTGGAGGTGGACTACATGCGTCGCGAAAGTGAGCTAAAGAAGAGGGAGCAAATGGTGGAGATGATGACGCGCAAGCTGTCGTACAACGCCGGTAAAGTTGGATCTCCAACAACTTCCGATGATTCAAATTCCAGTGCAGACAACAACTTCAACCACCAAGGATCGCTACGGGGAGACAACAACGGTGGCAGTCCACCCCGTGGTGACCTGAATGCGAAAGTCGCTGCAGAGGAAGTTCCGCAGACAAGATCTCAGCGGGGCTATCCTGCCAAAGGCCAGAGCAGCCCTTACTATGGCCCAACGGGCGATGTCAGCTCGACTCCGTCGACGGCAAACCGACTCCGTGACGCTCCCGAACAAGTCGCCAACTTGGTAAGTCAATTGTCTATAAGAAAGGTCGGGATCTAGAGTGAGTACACCTCGGTGTTGATTTCTCTAATTGACTTGGTGGCTTTTGATACTTTTCCAGATGAAGGGAATGTGGAGGAAGAACAATTAGCTGGTGTCGACGGCCACAGGGCCTCAAGGCACAGCATCAGTTTGATCTAGTCTGCGAGACGAAGCACGAGCACAGATCAGGGCAGTGGAGGGGATGCGGTGCGACAGTAACGTATTATCTGCATGTGTTTTGGTGTAACTAATCGACAATGAAGGGCGCAAAACTTAGCGAACTACGCCTTGTGTCGAGTTTTTTTCCCCACCAAACACGCACCGTCGAGCGCCATCAGTATTTGTACAAGATAATCAACCAAAAACGCACAACAAAAAAAATTCAAGGGCGCGGAACCCAGCTGCAGGACCCTGAGCGAGCGTGTCACTAGCAAAAGACAAGGTCTACACAGATAGAGAATCCGATCAATGAGTGATGGACTGTCCAGAACGAAAGCCGAGGGGTAACTTTTGATTCCGGTGGTCCACCACACTGCGAAAGGACAAGGATGAGGTAGGAAGGAACCAGTAATTTGATAAATTCTTTCGTTATGCTTCTCGTGAAAGATTACAATTTCTTTGTGCGAACAAATATTTTTTTTTATTATTTGACTTGTATCGCTCATGTAGAATTACGTGGTGTCCTCAATTTCGGTCTTATCTTCTTCAGCTTCCGTCGTTGTGGTCTCTTTTGCTTCCACTCGAATCTGGAGCAACGCTTCAACCCGAGTTCGGCAGATTGGGCACGTACTGGAGCTCTTGCGTAGTGCTTCAGCGCATTCGCTGCAGAGGCACATGTGCCGACAGGGTAGAATTGTGGTATTGCGTGGTTCACATAGGCAGATGATGCACTCGGCGCCTTCAGGAATTTCAATCTCATCCTTCGCAGTCTGAGACGTATCAGTTTGGCCATCTCCTGACACACCGTTGCGCTCAGTTTTAGGTGCTGCTGCCACTGCTCCATCAATTCCATAGATCTCTTGCAACTCGTAAGTCAATCCGTCCACCTAGAACACGGGCGTCAGTGAGAAATCAAGGCGAAGTGAGAGATTCTTTATTTCGTACCAGGATTTTCTGCTTGAGCATCTTGATATCCCACACGTCTTCTCCTTTCTTGACGAACGTGCAGAATGTCGTTTGAGATTGTGGGCGCTTCTCTGTCAATTGTACAGCAACTCGTGAGCATCAAGAACATCAACGAACTCACTGTCATATAACACGGTGCACTTACTGTCTGGAGACACTTCGAGGACAATTATCAGTGGGAATTGCGTCGTATTAGCCTTGTAAACGAGCTCATCCGGGTCGTATGGTGAGAAGTCCAGAAGCGGCAATGGTTGTTCTTGTGTCTCCTGATCCACCTCCTGGACAGTGTTCTCTTCCTTTTCGTCCCCTTTAAGAACGAATACCTGTGCCAATCCTGAAGGGAAGGGCTGGCTTAGCACCGGGTTCTTGTCTGAGTGAACCAGCTCGAAGCTGGAGCCACCAGTATTAGCGTCGATGGTCTCCGTTGCCACCAAATACACACTAATCCGACAAGGTTTAGTGGCGTCGAACTGGAATTCCAGCGCGTACTGCTGCGGCTCCGTGAGCGATCGCTGCAATTTGAGGCTGGCCTTCTTGAGATTTACGTGGTTCTTCACTGTGCACGTTTGCTGCAGCTCCGGGACGTCAACGGTTGTGCGTCCCTGATTGGACATGAAAGCCATATCTGGTCGACCTCGACTGAGATACAGCGCCTGCATCTGCGCTGGCGTGTAGCTCCCGCGCGGTGCTGTAGCCGCACCAGCGGGCTCTCCATACAGTGTGCCTGTCGAGACGCGGCGCTGCCGATTCACGCTCGCCGTGTGCCCCATGGTGTCGAGCCAAGTCCTATGTCCTCTACTCTCTTAGAACTGATGGTAGCTTTTTATAGGCTCGACCGACCAGAATAAAGGAATTTGTAGTTATTATTCGCGACCAGGATTAAAGTTATGTGGTCGCCGCTTTGAAGTCTTCAGACAATCCCCATGCGTTGGCGCCTTCGTCGGCGTCGGCATTCCACATGAACGAGTTGGCACCGACTACAGTACCAATGAATAAAAATATCAATTTTGTTAGTTGAAGTCCTCCGACTCGTACATGTACAGACAAACGTACATTTAATGCCCTTTGCTGGTGGACAACCGCCATGGAGACTAGCTGGGTCCAAGTCGTTCATTGGCGTTTGCGCGTAAAATAACGACGCTGTGAGCTTCACGGGAGGCACAGCGAGTCCGTCGGAGCACTCGGTCATTCCTTCTCGTTCGATTCCAGTCACTAAACGCTCCTTCGAGTATGGAAAGATCGTCTCGCCGCCTTCGGGACAGTCGTTTAGATACAAGAAGAGCGTCACGAACCGATTCGGCTCAAAATGGTACAGATACTTCGGCTTCTCGTAGGCGAATACATCACCAACCCGCTTGACCCAGGATTTCACCACAAGGTCGAACGCAGACTGACTATTGCGCAGCACCTCCAGCAACGTATCGTCGTTGTTCTTGTTTTCAATTAGCCATTTGTACAGATCCTCGGTAAGCGTCTTAATTAGGAGCTCTTGACTGTAATCTTCGAGGAGGTAATTTACCAAACGAGTCTGAAAACTCATGTAAAATGTGGGGTAGTCTTCGCCTTCCGGTCTCACACGTTTCGGTACAGCCTCTGGCTGCGTATCCATTAGCACCTGTACTCGTTCCTTTGCCCAACGTATCCATCTGAAGTAGTGTGAGATGCCATTGATCGGAGGTTTGGGAAATGAATAAACAAGTTCAGGAAGCCGAGCACGTTTTTCCCATGAAGCCACAATGAACGGCAACATGTAACTTTTGTCTTCCAACAGCGGAGTCATCATATCATTTGCTCCACGTTCAAGATTCTCGTTAATCCAGTCGCCCCACTCCAAGTCGGCGTGCTTCCAGAAAAAGTCGCTAGTCTCGGCATCCTCCATGAAGCACTTCAGCAGAGCATTTTGAAACGTTGTTGTGCTTTCAATGTCTGGAAACATCGCGCCTCCAGGTAGGAACTCAGCAGGAACGATATTGTCGCCGCGGTCCCGACGAAGTTCTTCGATTTTGGACGACGCCCACTCAATCCACACCTCAAACTGGTCGGCAGCCACCTTCTTGTTAGGGACAAATTCTTTTGAGTCAAAGTAGTCCTCGTGGTTGCGGTAAAACTGCCCTGTTTCGTATCGCACGAGCTGCATCACTTCAGTATAACTAGGGGATGGCAGTCGAGCGAGACGCGAAGATCGCACGCGGAAATCGCGCGTGAAGTGGCTGTCATCTAAGAATGCCGTGTAACTCGTCCGGTCTTCATGATATCCATCTTCTGCCTCGGAGCTGTCTACAGGAGAGCGATCGAGGTGGTCAATACCCGCGACGATAATAGCATTCGCTTCTTCCTGTGAAAAGAAACCTTCCACTGTGAACACCTTGGGGTGAAGCGACCGTGTTGTAACGGTGCAGCCGTCGATCTCCCGAACGTAGCCCACCTTGATCCCGGGCCACACCCAGAGCTGCCCATCCAGCAGTACGTGGGCAATACGTTGCGAGTCCAATTCATCCGCTGTCAGGATCGGCAAGCCGTCGATGGAGAAGATTTTCAGTCCATTAGCCACCCTGTCCGAATCGGCTCCGAGGTGTAATGCTGCTGTCTGTGCAAGCTCTAAGAGACACGCTTCTTCGTTCGGATGGTGTTCCCAAGGCAAGTAAACCCCCTCGTTCTGCCCGTTCAACATGAAGAAGACTCGGTCCCGGTTTCGTAGTTGTTTCACTTGGCCAAGCGCCAGCTCCACGTGTGTCATCTCTTCATCTATCGGCTGGAAGTCTGGACATTGGACTCTTGCAGCTGGATTGGCCAAAAGAGGGTGGTAGGCAATCTTCACCAAGTCACTCTCGTACTTGTCTACGAGCACGTCGTCTGCGGGGAATTGAGCAGATGCATTCGCAGATGAGGATTCGATGGAGACGTCATGCCACTGCAACAACCAATCAGGAGACGTCCATACGGTCACTAACACAGCCACGATGACGGGGAGCGCAGAGAGCACCACGAGATTCTTCGATAGCGACGAGCGTGGCGCTCTCTTCGTCGGTGTGGCTTCCGTCGCCGCCGGTTCGGCGTTGCTAGACATGACGCGAATCGAGTGACTCGATCAACTTCAATGGCGTCCAATCGTGCGTGCGTTTTAGGCTCGATTACGTAGTCAGGTCATATGACCCAAATTATGGGACCAAATTTACCAAGCAGAAAATTAGTGTTGAAGTTGGTGATTCCAGATCTTTATATGTATGTTCTAAAATTATTGTTGAATGCTGTACAAACTTTTCGAACACGCGACTGAATGAAGACAGCAAGCGAGTTACATGTGCGAAGTGCAGTACAGTAGCGTGAATTAAAGTCAAAGTGCAGTCCGTACCTAATTTCCAACGATATGGCGCGGCGGATTTGCTTCGCATTTTAAAGGCAGTGCAAACACAAGGTGTTTGCAGAAGCGCGGGTGGGAAATTCTATCCTACACGACAAACATCTCCAGTCCATCCATGGGATAGACACAAGCCACGACATCACCGTCATCTTGTCGAATTGTCCCTTGCCGAGACCGGGCTGACGGTCCTAAAAGAGTTAAAATCAGTCACTGTAACTTCACAGTAAGTTTTTCAACTGTTTGTCTCCCTAGTAAACGAGAATAGTGATGTTGTTACTGCGTGAAGGCAGCAAAATCGTGAAAGCAGCATCTCAAAGCAGCGACTGGATCAAGTGCTCGAGAATCGAAGGCTTACGCATTCGCGTTAAAATACGCACTTCGAGCAATTGTGAATAGAAGTAGAGGCTTACGCATTCGCGTTCAATTTGCTGTTCTAGCTACTGCGAATCGACAACTAGCTTAGACAAACTTAGCAACAACGAACCAAAAAGTATATGACGATGCACGACTGTTTGCAGCTTTCTTTTTCTTACCATCTCAATACTTTGATCTCGATTTAGATCATATAGATCATACAGAAAAGAAAGCTATGATAAAGCTCAGTCGAACAATTTCCAGTTGCTATAAATCTATTGTTCTGCGCTCGATAGCCTACTCGCTAAAATCTTGATTCGCTTTGAATCCATCGGTCCAGAGCCCAGAGCTCCTTCTCATAAGTGTGATAAAATTGCATTTCCACCTAACTCAAAAGATAATCTACATTGTAATTGTTGCCTCAACAGTAAAGCTGTCTTCGTATTTGCTGAGGATACAGTTTTGTGAACCAGTAAAACTGAAAAAAAAAAATTAGTAGTTTCGTAAATGTGGATACTACATGTGCCTATTAAAAACTTTTAGAAACCTTCGGATCTAAAAACAATTCTAGCAGTACCGTGAGGGACCTTTATCGACTTTTGCTCAAATGGGCATAGATGAGACAAGCCAGGGATGAGTTGAAGGCGGTCCACATCAGTCTACACCGAGCGCGTCGACGCGCCTGATTGGTCGAGATTTTAGAAATGCGCAAAACCAGGACTGAAATTCCTAAATTCTGGTGCTATGGGAGCGTCCATCGCCATCCTATCGTCAGGAATCTTGCGCTGCAAGTTGCAGCAGTCTCACCGCCATTTCCGCTTTTGCCGACGCATACGTGAAACTTTACCCCAAGCAACACTACCAAGACCATCATAGCCATGCAGTCCGCCGTTCTCAAGACTTGTCGCCGCGCCGCCTCCACCTGCCGCATGAACTCGACGCGCGCGCTCACGACGTACTCGGGCGGCCAGCCTTCAGAAGGCCAGGGCGGTTTCTACGGCTCTGCCAAGACTCGCTCCGAAACCAGCTCCAAGTTCAACCCTGGTGCGCGCGCTGAGCCGCAGGATCTGACCAAGCTGCAGCAGCTCATGAAGCAGTGGGAAGCGCAGAAGGCTTCGCTCGCGGCCGAGGAACAGAAGAAGGAACTCGCACGGATCGCCAACGAAGAAGAGACTCTCATTCAGCGTCTTCTCATTCGAGGCGCACCTGTGTGGGGCCTCTCCACGCGGCAGCGCGAGTTCGTGGCTGAGTGCAGCAGGGCCAGCCACTAGGCGCGTTGTGCATTCAGCCCACCGACCGTCTGTCTCCCTGGTGCCTCGGAAGGTTTCACTGCGCCGCCTCGCAGTGCGCCTGTCGTGCTGCCTTCACTTTCTATCATTGGCGTTTGCTCTGCATCTCGGAGGAATAAAACGGGATACGAGCTAGGAAGGCATGATGCCGGTTAATGTATCAGTTTCTCTATTGCATTTTGTGAAGGGTGTAGCTCATTGCATACCACAGGACACGTGTAGGAATGCTCCACAGATACGCACGTTCTGGCCGTCCGTGGGGCATAAGGGCCGACGACCGCAGGCCACCTGCCGTCGGCGTGTCAAGGTGACGAAAGACGAAGCAGAACTTGTGATCTGAGCGGACGATTTGCGGCATCCAAGCAGAAAACTGCAAAGACCGTGCGTCAAGAATTGACTCATTTTTCGAGTTAGAAGCGCTTGGTGGCGACGCGCCGCCAGCGAGCATTCCTCCACGTACATGAAGCTAATGCTGGTTGTACGATTAAGCAAATGTGACGAGTCGAAAGGCTCGTCACATTTGGTAGCATTTCTTCATGCAGCATCGCAATCACTTAACGTTAGAAATCGTCACAAAGATACTCGCGCCATGGTGCATTTCATTCAGTAAAAAAAATACGCAAGGAAACACTACATGTTCAGCTGCGTGACCGACTTGACGCGCTGGCTGCCGTGCATAGGCAAGTCCAGCGACTGCTTCCGTGGCATGTCTGGCAACTCACCTACTCGATCGTCCTCGGTGGCGCTGACAGTTCGTCGTAAGGTCGGTGGCTGAGACGACTCAGCGTCGGCGCTGGATGACGGATCTAATAAATCCAACAGTGCACCTGGAGTACCAGGCTCATTACTTTGCTGTGAGCCGGACGCATCTGTCAGATACATCCGCAATGTCTCCAATCGAACACTCGAAGACGTCGGCGACAGTTTGTCCCCATCCAGCTCAACAGGCGAAGCTTCAACCGCACCATCGTCCGAGCTCGCGGCTTCTTCCTCTGGAGTCATCTCTACAAACCATTCGGTCTTCAAAGAAATGTCAGTGCGTTCGCTAGCCAACGCGCCAAGTTGAGCCACTAATCGTGATCGAATGTCGGGGTGGAGTCCGCTTTTCACGATCATCTTGTGATAGATCTTTTGCGAACGTGCACCCGATACAATTGCGCAGAGCCACTCCACAACGCGCCGGAACTGGATGACGTTGTCGTGACAGATATGACGACGGAAGAGTTCGAAGAGTTCTGGATAATTACCTAGCAGGCGATGCTTCTGCACCGCAAGTTGCTCCACGTGGCGACACAACTCGTTGCTGACTTCGAAGCCGTGGATACCAGCAGCATAGCAACCATCACACAACTCGTAGTTATCGCAGGTGTTACACTTCCACTTGCCACCAACAATGGGACTCATACCGCAACCATCGCATAGAGCATTTTCATGGACGTGGTTCTTATGGTAACGAGCATTAAGGCGCGTCTTGACATCACCAAGCATAGCACCCACTCCGGTCTTCGTGCGCAATCGACTGAATACTCCCCCACTGCTTGAATTCGATCCAGGAGCATTGAAGGCATCGAACGGAAGCGATGGCTTGCGGCTTAGCTTCGAAGATCTGCGCGGTGCCTCCAACATTGACTTCGATTCGGTGATACTGGAACCAAGTTCTACTGGCTCAGACGTAAATCGGCCCTTTGAAGGGATCAGCACTCTGCTGGCGTGAAGTACTGATGTACTGGAGGCGTCGCTCTTTGGCCCGTAGAAAAGGTGTCCTTTAGCCCACACCAGCGATGAATTGTATGCTACATTGGTGCCTTCACTGGTTCCATCGTCACTAGCAGCGTCATCACCTGAAGCTTCAAGTCTCACTTCGTCCTTGTGCTTATGATCCAGCGCGATTTTCAAGTCTGAGACCCGAACGTAACGCGTTCGTACATAGGATTGAACCTTCAGGTCGTGGCGGTTCTTCAGCAACGGAACGATCAATCGCCTCATGTCCCGATTAGCCTCTTCGCTGATTCCTTTAATTGAAATCTCTGGGTGGAAGTTTGAGCGGATATCTCGTCCTTCAAGCACGAAGCCCAGCCACTTTGATATCTTCTTACGGCCTCGTTCGGGCATATTTCGAAGCAAGCGCTGGACGACCTCAGACTCCATATCGATCGGTGCAACAGGGAATATTTCATCATCCAACTCCCATTCACTGGGCGACGTGTCTAATCCAGTATTGTCTTGAGGCTTCGTATCCAATCTCATGTCCTGCGAGTTTGATCGAGTACCGCCACGAACAGAGCGCAACATCTTTGTTTTCGTAGCTAGCGAATTCAGCTGCGGCGTTTGATTTCCAAGCCCACGAACGTGGACATCGAATTTGCGTAATTTCTCTTGCAGCTCCTCAATCTGAGCATCGTATTCACGACGGCAGCTAGTTAACTCCTTCATTAATTCATCAGCACGCAGCGTTGAAAGCTTCAGCTCGTTAGTTTTTGCAGATAGCTGCTGACGGAGGAACTCGTTTTCCAGTGCCGAGCTGCCCTCTGAATGCTCCACAGGCATTGAAGACGAGTCAACAGCACCTTTATCACTGTCTTCATCGTTTGGGACGTCGCTGTTAACAGTACTAGCTGTTGATAATGGAGGTGTCTCGGCCAGGCTAGACTGTTTCCGGCGCGTCAGCATTTGGTTCAGCTCTTCGCATTCCGTTGCCTTTGCCTCGAGCTCACTTTGCAGGAATGCCAGTTTCTTCGTGTAATCTTCATTTCGGCTAACAATTGAAGAAACTTCACGTCCTTTCTCCTCGAGATCTTTGTTCCTCGCCTCCAATTCAACACATCGGTCTTCCAAGCTAGCGATTTCTGCTGCTTTGGACGCTTGATCGTCTTCCAGTTCCTCCACTTTAGCTGCAAATACTTTCAGCTGGTCTTCAGCAGTAGAATCGACGGGTTCATCCCCATCACCGGCTTTGGCTTCCCGTAGAAGGGCTTCCAATGTGGCAATGCGCTTGTCCTTTTCAGCTACAAGAATCTTGTACTCTGCCACGGTTCGTTCTTCGTTTACCTTGGGCTTATTCTTGATGTTCTTTGCCCGAGTACCAAATCGGAGAGTGGACATCGTCTCTTCGCTATTGAAGCTGCTAGAGCTAGCGCACACCAGCAGCGTCGTCTCAGAATTACCTCCAAGTGAGTCTTGCAATAGCCGAGTCAGCTTTGAGTCACGATACGGGATGTGCGTGTTGGCATTACCACTCGTAAGTGCGTTCATGACACTACCCAAGGCGCTGAGCGACTTGTTAATGTGTTGCGCTTCCTTCAGCGTCTGCCCCTTAGCGTGGGTCTTCCCTACTTTCTCCGATCCTGCCAAGTCGACCAGGAATAATTTCCCACTTTTCATTGATCCTGTCGCGGTATTTCGCTGCTCGATTGTGATGATAAACACAGAGTGGCTTCGACTGGATTCACTGTTCATCCTTGTGGATGAAATGACTCTATTCGCACCTCCCAATCGCATCACGGACTGCATTTCCTCCGCGGACGCGCAACAAACCTCAGTAGCACCGGCAATCCACACGCCGCGTTCACGACTTTCGCGCACGTTTAAGTTTGTCGACGTAGGTTTGAGTAAATCGCGGATTTTCTCCATGTAGATTTCAATATACGATACGCGTACAATAAACTCGAGGTCTGCCTGCATGTTCTGGATACCGTCAAAGATATCGGCCATTACACGAGGGATGATGCCCTCATAGTCCTTGTCGCCTGGTACTCCTTCCATAGAGAAGGTCTTACCCGACCCCGTCTGGCCATACACGAAGCATGTGCAGTTGTAGCCACGTAGAGCGGACTCCACCAGCGGCTTGGCTGTCGCTTCGTACACATTCAGCTGTGAGGATTTGGTCCCGAAGACTTGGTCGAAGGTAAACGTGTGATCGTCCGACGCGCCGCGGGCTTCACTGTGCACGTGCGCAACAGTGCCATCTTCCAGGTGAACACACTCCACAGCCTGGTGCTTCTGCTCGAGCTTATTCTGCGGGCGAAAGCGCGCGCACACGCGGATGCCCGCGCGGGTTTCCGCAGCGGAGCCCATGGCAGGAAAGGAAATCTCATGTTTGTGTGGTGAATTATCTGATTCCGATCTGATACTCACTAGTCGACGCTTCTGATTGGCATCCAACCAACTCACATGTCAAGTTGAGTCTGTACGTAGAGAGCACGCTTGCTTTCAGCATTATCAAAGCGGGCAATACGAGACGAAAGTGCTCACGGTGGGGCGGGATATGCTGCCGAGTGGAGATAGAGGTAGAACAAAAGCCTCGCCACTACTCGTCTGCTCGAAGGTTGTTTGGACTAATTGTGTCGCGGACGGTTGATTCCCGTATACTGCTGCGATCCCCACCACATGCATTTTGCCAGAAGCAGTAGATGAAGCATCTAGGACTTGAATCGCGATAGCAGAGTTCGTCTCCTCGACCAAGTCGTAGTCGCTGATACATTTTGTTAATAACTTGTATCTCAATGAGTTGCAAGTTTTTCAGAAACTCTAATATGACGAGGAGGCAGCAGCATTGACTGGCAACCACACTTCTTACTGATTCACAAAAAGGTATCTGTGCGTTGTCAACCTTCAGGTCAAAATCACTGAGATAGCAACGATAAGTTGCGAATTCCTACTTGCAAAACATTTTTAAAAGCTGCATGAACTAAGACTGAATATCAACCTATTTAGAAAAACTACTTGCTCCCAGCAACTGAGGAACTACTTGAACGAGAGGATTCGTTGCATATCAAGCGGAAGAACTCTACAAGCGGAAAACAATGCTCAACACCGGAGTTGTGCACCACCAGAACAACACGCTTTCGTCCGTAATTATATTTTATGTATTCAAGTTTATATGCCGACAAGGAAAATATGCCAAAATCTTTCCATCACACATTCTTGTCAGCAACTTCGCAGCTTGAATTCAGTAAGCTTTACCTTCAGAGCAAAACTTGAGGCATCTTTGCACCCATCTCTATTTTTGAGAATTCTCTTCCGATAAATCGGAAATTATCCCCACCAAACGTGAGGCCTCGAAAGCGTACTGGTGGTCTCCCATTCGTAGCCTGGAAGCTCGCCCCCCAGAAGCAGCAAGATGATGTCCAAGCTGAGCCTCGTGCGCCAGCCGCTTACCCGCGCGCAGTCGTCGGTGGCGGCCGCCGTGTCCAACTACCCGTCGTACGTGCTGAACGCGCCTGCCACTGAGGTCACGACGCTTCCCAGCGGTCTGCGCGTGGCCTCTGAAGGCTCGCACGGCGAGACGGCCACCGTGGGCGTGTGGATCGGCGCTGGTTCTCGTTACGAGACGGCTCAGAACAACGGTGCTGCCCACTTCCTTGAGCACATGGCCTTCAAGGGCACGAGCAAGCGCACGCAGCAGCAGCTGGAGCTCGAGATTGAGAACATGGGCGGCCACCTCAACGCCTACACGAGCCGCGAGCAGACTGTGTACTACGCCAAGGTCTTCAAGAAGGACGTGCCGCGTGCCATGGACATCCTGAGCGACATTCTGCAGAACTCCAAGCTGGACGAGGCCGCCATCGAGCGTGAGCGCGACGTCATCCTTCGCGAGATGGAGGAGGTCAACAAGCAGCAGGAGGAGGTTGTCTTCGACCGCCTGCACGAGACTGCCTTCATGGGCAACGGTCTCGGACGCACCATCCTGGGCCCCATTGAGAACGTACGTGGGTGAAACCTTGCTGTAGGAACGTACAGATTGACTGACTAGCTTGATGTGTCAATTAGATCCGCAACCTCAAGAAGTCGGACCTGCAGGACTACATCGCCACGCACTACACGGCCCCACGCATGGTCATTGCCGGTGCCGGTGCTGTGGACCACTCGCAGCTTGTGGAGCTGGCCCAGAAGTCGTTCGGCGACCTGCCCACGACTCCTGCCGTGGCCCCCACGCTGGAGCCCGTGCGCTTCCTCGGCTCGGACGTCCGTGTCAAGGACGACAGCATGCCTCTGGCTCACGTCGCCATTGCCTTCGAGGGTTTCAGCTGGACTAGCGAACACTCGTTCCCCCTCCTGATCATGCAGACTCTGCTCGGCAGCTGGGACCGCACTTCGGGTGCCGGCATGAACATGTCGTCCAAGCTGGGCCAGGTGGTTGCTGAGAAGGAGCTTGCTCACTCGTACATGTCCTTCAACACGTGCTACCAGGACACTGGTCTCTTCGGTGTGTACGCTGTCGCCGACAAGTACAAGCTGAACGACCTGACGTGGTACACCATGGAGGCTCTTGTGCGTCTTGTGCACAAGACCACCGACGAGGAGGTTGAGCGTGCCAAGACGCAGCTGAAGGCCAACATGCTGATGCAGTTGGACGGCTCGTCGCCTATCTGCGAGGACATTGGTCGCCAGATGCTGACGTACGGCCGCCGTATGACGCCCGCCGAGATCTTCGCTCGCATCGACGCTGTCGACGCTGCTGCTGTCCGTAAGACGGCTGACGAGGTCATCAACGACAAGGAGCACGCCCTGGCTGCTACGGGCCCTATCCACGAGCTGCCGGACTACAACTTCATCCGTCGTCGCTCGTACTGGCTGCGATACTAAGCGGGTCGTGTCATCCCTACATCCCGGCATCGTTAAGAAAGGAGAATGAGGCATAGAGGCTGAAACAAGATAATCAGGAGAGTTTTCTGTATGGGAAAGCGGACGGGCCGTACGCCACTTTGCCACAGGGGAGATGCATTAACGAATGGAAAGAAAAAAATGAATCACTACAAACACTAGTACCTTCCCCATTTTTTATCGCAATGGAGGGGTGAATTAACTACTTTGGCTTGTCAGGACGGAGGGTGATATATTGCAGAATTCGCAGCGGTGAGCCTTACATGGTGCACATTTTCCCAAAAACTACGATTGGTGCGCGAGTTGAAGTAATACCAGGCGCCGAATCTCGCGTCAAAGATCTTTTCGAGGTTGCCAAGCTTGTAATCTTGCATGAAGACTCGCAAAGCGCGTTGGCGAAACATGTTCTGAATAACTTTTGCGGCTGCGTCTCGAGCTGGGTCGTTGGTGTATGCTAGTGTCAATGGCTTGGCATCAAGTGGACAGTGGCAACGACGCAGCAACGTCGGGGCTTCCCACTGACTCAGGTTGGTGATGCGGTTGTAGTAGAAATATTGATTGTTTTCAGGATTTAACACACGTTGATAAGTTTTGGCTAGCAGATCAGCGAGGTGACGACGCGCTCGAAATGCTCGGTAACCGCACTGAATTATCACTGCTCCTTTCGCTACTGAGGAAACCTTGATCGAAGTTGAAGCTTGTGACTGTTGATTTGCGTCTAAATACTTGTCTTCGTGGCCGGTTAGTTCAGTTTTGGGATCTATAGTCAACCAACTTGGTTTTCCTCCCAGATCTGCGATTCTTTCTCGAACTTGTGCCAGTTTCTCCTTGTTCATCAGGATTTTCCGATCCAAATCGCGAAGTTTGTATAAAATTTGGCTCTGAGGAGAGTCAGGATACAATGCACGCGCCTCCTCTGGTACTCTCTGACGAAGGAAGCTTGCACAGCGCTCATCGGACTCGATTTCAGCCAAAAGGATTGTCTTGGTCGCCTCCAATGCTGCAAGGGTATCATCGGAGCTCGAGACTCGTCGTTGCAATGATCGAGAAACCTCAATATCTCCTCGCTGTCTCAACCTTCCATTCCACGTCCGATGATTGTGCATTTTTCGTAGAGGTGAGTTTAATTTTTGAGAGGATGGCACACCAGGTTTTACAATTTGAGGGAGTGAATTCTCATCGATCCCACCGGAATGTGCCATTTGATTATCACCACTGTTTCTTGAAATGCTGGCAGAAGGAGCTCCCGCTTTTGTGCTGACGTATCTATCACGCTTTCGAGATCGACGTCGACCACGTTTCGCAATAGTTCGATTCAACAAAGGAAGTTCGTCCAATGCGCTTAATGGCTCGAATTCCTTGGCCTCTGACAACGTTAGTGCTTGGTTGTCCGTCGGAATCACGTTTCTTGCATTTTTCTCGTTATCATTTTTGTTGCTGCCAGAGTAGCTTGGATCACTAGGTTTCTTACAATGCTGGGCAGAGTCGGCTTCAGGGCATAGTTCCAAGGCGCCAACTTGTGCACTTATACTCATGTTGTCTTCTCCCAGTGATGCAGAATTTCTGTTCCCAAGTTCTCGCGCGACATTCCATATTTACACCATTGTAAGCCAGATCAGAACACGATAAGGCTGCGTCGTCACAAGAGCCATTTCAGTGCTTTCAAAAATGGCAGTCTTTAAAAAATGGTATTAGATGAGCTCGGCGGCGAGATTGCATTGTGGAGGTTCCTGCAGGTCGGTTGAGCATGCTGCTGAGTGGAAATTAGTTCTATTAACGTCGAGATCAAAGAGCTTGAAGCGATGCTGCTGCTCTGATTGGCAACTTTAGCTTTGCTAATTCAACATCGAAATAGTTAATTTCACTTTGTTTTACCACGTGTTTTTAGTGCAGCTTTTGACTCACTCGAGCAAGCGTCATGGCTGGCGACGCGTGCGTTTTCGACGGGGATTCGTCTGGACAAGAGACCCCCGTAGGGTTTCGAGACTCACCAGGCCAATGGTATACAGCCAACCATCGCAAGCGCGCCGCGTTGTCGCAGTTGGAGGGAGAACCGACGCAACGGGAAAGCCAGGCGACGCAGGTAGCGACGGAAGGTGCTACACAGCCTATAGAAGGCCTAGCTCCTGTATTTGTCGCAGCTACGCCCTCTCAGGGAGAAATTAATGATGAAGACGAGTTGGATGAGGAGGAGACGCAGATCCGCATGACTAATTCCGAGGATCAAGACGGTAGGACCGACGATGGATAGGGATGGGATTCGTGATGCTAGGTGACTAATGAGTTGAAGTCTGAATGGTTGCAGAATTACCCAAGCCAGAACGAAAGATTTTGGAGGAGGCAGTGCCGTTGCCGATAGCAAGCGGAACAGGTCGCCTCGTGGGCGACGCTAGGATGGGAGATAGTGACGACGATGCCGACTCGGACATGTCGGACGACATGCTGGAACAAGACGGCTCTGTCGCTGGACTGTCCTCCATCGCAGCTTCATTCCAGCAGAAAGTGAAAGAACCAGAAGTTGTGGAGAAGAGAGTCTACAAGCCTCGCACCCCGTTTCGAGCATCTTCAGCCCTTTCCGACCCGGACAGCAGCGGTGGTGAGACAGAGATCGAAGGTGAACCGAAGGAGGAATCGCCAGCGAAGAGCCAAAACGACAAGAAGCAGACACTATTTCAGGACAGCTTGACACCACGTCTTACAAAGAGTGCAAGCTACTCGAAGTCGACTGCAAAAGGGGAATCTCCTGTAGCAGACACGAAGAGTATCCGACGATCGCTATCGACACCAGAAAAAATACGAAGTCCAAGACCGCGCCATAGCTCGAAGCGTGACCACAATGAACCTCCGGGAATTAGCTACACTAGGGCAAAACGGTCGAGACACGATGATGCTGAGTCAGCCACTGACCAGGGAGCTTTTTCAGAGAAACAGGACACACAGGTGAAAAACAACGATGGTCTTCCGCACGGTCAATCTACAGCATATCAGACGAGCGATCTCAAGGTAACTCGCGACATTCAAGAAGAGGATACCAATCCGTCTACTGGAATCGAGTTGAATGAAGAGGACCACCTGCCTGTGGTGCCACGTTCGAAAGCGCGTTCGCAGCATAAGTCGCCTGCCTCGACTCGTGACAAGAAACGAGCAGCACACAGTCGATCATTTACTGACAGTGAGTCGGCAGGATCACAAGCAGAGGATGGATCTATTCGTATCATCCTGACGGGACTGGAGCCTACCGCTGCTATCCGGAAGAAGATCAGGGCGATTGCTGGCGCAGCCTATGAGAGCGACATTACGAAGGCCACGCATGTCATTGCTTCTCAGTTAAAGCGCACGGTGAAACTACTGTGTGGTATTTCGTGCTGTACGCATATTCTGGGTGAACGCTGGCTAGACGAGTCGGCGCGGGTCGGCACGGCGGTCGATGAACAAACGAACTGCCTCCGTGATAAGGAGGCGGAAAGCAAGTGGCAATTCGATCTGAGTAACACAATGTATGGTGTGTCTGCGGAACAACGCCAACGCTTGTTCGCCAACTACAACGTCTTTATTACCAACCACAAGTCCGTCCTGCCGCCGGTGAAGGACTTGGTGAAGATCGTGGAGTGCGCCGGTGGCAAAGCGTCTTCGAAAGGAAAACCTGGGGCTAATGACCTAGTGATTACTAGTGAGGCAGTGCTGGCCGTGGCGACAGTGCGCAAGCAGCTTGCGAGTGCGAATCCTGAGCGGATTTACTCGCCTGAACTAATTCTCACCAGTATTTTGCAGCAACGCGTCGAGTTAGACGAGCATCGTCTGAAACTTCCCACTGTAGGCAAGAAGACATGGGCCACCAAGCAACGGAAGTAACAATGCCGATGATTTGTTTGACGTGTTTATTACGATAATAAGAGGGTGTCGCTCATGCAAAGTGCACCGATGAACGAATAATAATTACTGGTACATACGTGATCTGGTAGTGCGTCAATGATTGCCTACTTGGCGGTTTGGCGAAGGCCGAGAAGCGCACAGCCCAACAGCGAGACAACGCACATGGACAGCAGGTGCTGGCGCGCCATGGTCTCTTCCATCCACATGTCAAAGCTATTGTTGCGTCGGCGGTTCTGACGTTCGACGGTGACCTCAACTGGCACGTCGGAGTAGCACACAGGAGCATCGTCGGGGTAGTATTCGCGTTCCAGCACGAGGTGATGGCCGCACTGATCGGCGAACGACAGCGTCTTTTTGGGTGCGGCCGAGTAGCTCACTGTGATCATTTTGGTCGTGGACAGCTCGTCCAAGCGCGAGCCGTGTGAAGCACCGCCACACGTGAAAGCGCTCTCCTTGCGCAGGCAGGATCGTCGGCGCAGCGAGCGCGGCGGATAGTAGTGAGTGTGTCGACTACTTCCTGATCCATGCGAGTACTTCTGTCCGATTGTTATGGGCTGCTGGAACTGAAGCGAGCGCGAGCAGGCAGCGCTGGAACTCGTCGAAGTCATGTTGATTCAAGCTAGTTTTTTCGTAAATGAGCCGTGATGTTGATCCGCGAAACGATGCCTGTGACGCCGGTCTGTTGTCAGGTAAAAATGGAACTTTAGGACAGTCGCTTGCTCACTCGAAAATGGGTACCAGTCATCAAATGGGCATTGTAAAAGTAGTTTGCCGCCTTTGCATGTTTTGCTGAGTGCTTGAACGTTTGAGGCTACAATTTTTAGCGAGAATAGCCCCCATCGAGCAGCGGATCTTGACGTAAAAAGCTAGTGTCCTGGGATAGAGCCCATGACCCGGGAGAAGGTTTCTGGTTGGACATCCCACAGATCTTTTAATCGGCGTCAGGAGGAACGTTTGTGGTGACACTGAAGATAAAGGTCGTTTTAGCAGGGGCTAGTTTCCCGAGTCAGGAATCCCGGTACTTGAATAAAGCCTCAGTTTAGCCTTTGTTTAACCCTTTAAGTGTTTCGTCTGATGATGGAAATACGAGTTGTCCAAACTTGCGATTTGGGCAAATTTTGATAGCACAAGGTGCCGGCGGTTTCGACTAAACCCCTAAAATCTACTCGAGTCAACATTTCACTTGGTTAAAGTAAGTGTCTGCCTTCAAGTCGCGTAAAGCCATGCAAACGTGATTTGAGTCATGATGTACCAAGTACTGTCCAAACCTACCAAACGTACTAGTATTCCAATACATAGTACACACTGCTAGCGATACTGAGCAAGACGCTTGAAATCCTAGCTTTTGACTTCATAATACTTTTGAGAGTAGGTAGTGAGTATAGAAAATGTGCAGACCACCTATTCCTATCATTTCATAATACCCAGGCATCTTGAGATTATTAATAGGTAGTGTACAGAAGACATACTGAATGCCCATTCCTATCTTTTCATCATACCTACTCCCGAACCATTCAATTCAATAGTGTTGAATACATTTGGAATGCATCGGTGGAGCGATTGCTCTGCGTAAGAAGCTCGAGACGACTAGTAACTGAGTCGCCACGACATTAGGAAGCCTGCAATGCTATTGTGTCCTGAGTTTGTAATACTTGTGATGGTAACTCCAGAAACTTACTCAGCTGACGGGACTTCATGACTTTTGAAAGTCATCGCCTCCTCCCTCTTCCCGGATGCCGACCGGGAATGCTATAAAAACAATCAAACTTTACACCCTGCGCGTACGCCGAAACTCGCCAGGATTATTCCAATGAAAACGACCAGGATGAAGAGCATGAGCTTGACAATCCACGGCTAGCCCACGTGCCCAACCTACCGCGGCTTACGAATATTGATCGTCAGAAAGTAGTTGGGCGGTATCCAAAAGACAGTCTCTGTCATTCTTACTCATGGTTTGTCGTGGTAAAGTCGGTGTTGTACGTTCAAGATAAAAGTGCTGGTTGCTTTTGTCACCGTGGTTCCACCCAGGATCCACACTGTGAAGCTCCTACTCGACCTTTTCGAAGAAGACTATAAGCTCGAAACGGAAAAATCATAATAATAATCATAAATTTATAAATCTGACTTGATAATTTTAAGGAACTTGAATGCCTAATTTGAATTTGATCCAAAGTTGGCACAATTTACCATTATTCCGTCGCCGAATATTCATCTTAGCCATCCGACATGTAAATTGCTAGTCCAAACATCTACCTGCGTCGGCGACTACTGCTACCACCCGATTGCTCAAGGCGGTTTTTGTCAAAATCAATGTGCTGCTGAAGGATACTACTCAAAATCAGCTCAGCCGAGTAGATCCGTTGCGGGTTCGCCTGCGTCAGGGCCTTGCGAACTGAGGCCGAGCCCAGTGCTGCTTCACTCGTGATCACCACGTCGTTCGGGTCAGCGCTTCCTGTGGTCACAGCAACGCCACCAGCGCACTCAACGATCTTCACGAGGTCCTTCACCGGAGGCAATACCGACTTGTGGTTGGTGATGAACACCCGATGCCCGGCGAAGAGCTGTTGCCGCTGCTCGGGATTAAAGTCGTACATGGTTTTTCTCAAATCAAACTTCCACTTCGCTTCGGCTTTAGAATCTTTCAGGCAATGAGCGCGTTCGTAAACAGGAGCGCCCACACGAGCCGACTCGTCCAGCCACCGCTCGTCCAGGACGTGGGAGCTGCGCGATATCCCGCAAAGCAGCTTTACAGTTCGTTTCAGCTGGTTCCTAGGGGCTAGAATATGCGTTGCCTTCTCAATATCTTCTTCGTATGCTGCACCTGCAATCGAATCGATCTTCTTTCGGATTGCAGCAGTAGGCTCAATACCAGTGAGGATAATTCGTACTTCCTGGGTCTTCCGTTCTTCAGCGGCTGCTTCGTTGGCAGGGAGCTGTGTAGAATCAATCTCACTCGTAGACTCGTCAGTAGGCATGCTTGAGCTCGGTTGAGTTGGTATCAGGGCCGTGTCATCGGGGTCCTCGGACTTCCTTTTCAGCCACCTTCTCTTCGGAGTTGTGACAGCTGGCGAGGCGATGGAATCAAAATTGACGCTCTCTTCGGCAGAAGCTGCCGTCAAAGTTTGCTTCGACTTGTCGGACAATCGCCGGGACTTCTTCTTAGCTGGGGGAGCTGCAGTAGACTCCTCTTCCACAGTGATCGTTGAAGTGCTTTTATCCTGCTCGCCACACTCTTCGTCCGTCTTATCATCAGGCTTGGAGCCATTAGAGCCCGCTGGACTTGAATCAGAGAAGGAGTTTTGCTTCTCGTCAATGGCACTCTCTTTCCTGCCAGACAAGACCACAAGCCTTCGCTTCTTCCCAGCTAGTTCACCTCGCTTCTTTCTGTCATGACGCATGTAAGCTTCCTCCTCTTCCATCTTTTGTCTTTCCCTCTTTTCTCTTTCACATCGTCTAGCTGCAACCTGGGCATTCTCGATGGCCCTCCACACTTGATCAAACCAGAAGTCAATTCTAGTTCTTTTCTTGGATACAAGTGTTAGGCTGCATGCAGATCCATTCGAAATCACCAAACTCCACTCTTTCTCTCCTCGTGGCTGCTCACCAATCTCCATTTCGGGTGCACGAGTGTTAAATTGGCATAAAGCTGAATGTCCTTTCCAGCCATCGAGCTTGAAAACTAGAAGCCATCTAGCAAAAAAGACAATTTCAACCAATTTCCAACCAGACTTGCTTGGCTCCGAGGCGCCATCAGCTGTCATCCAGAAGACTCCAGGAAGATGATCGTCATAAAACGATGCAAATTTGGTCGGGATTGTCTCCGTTTCTACAAGCTGCGCTTTAACCTCCTCAAGAACAGGAAGGTCACCGATTGCTCTGTGTTGGTGAAGATAGTCAGCCCGTGATCCATTCATTTCCAAGAAGCCTCCAATAGTATCAGACCATCGCTGACACTCCGATGCGTCTCTCCAGGAAAATACGAGTGTTGTGTCTAGCAAAATCAGTGCCAAAGCACACGCTTCTTCTGTTGGTCCGAGCATTGGTACACTGGCCGGAATGGATTCCAAAAAGGCCGCATCCTGCTTGAGATGTAGACAACGCAAGATCGAGAACGAAGACCGTGACTCAGAGTCCTGTCGCTTGCTGCAAACTAAAGTTCCGTCTTGAAAGCAATGGATGTAGGTCATATCTGGCTGAGTAAACGAACCAGCAGTCTCTGATCCAGCTTCACTACGATCGCTTTGCGAAAAGAACACTTCTCCGTGAAGAAGCAGCTTATTGTCGGACAAATCGCGGAAGGCCTCAGCTCCGTCTCCCTGAAAACAAGTTTGAAGCGCAATTTGTTCTTTCTCCTCGCGCGCATCGGCCTTGACGAGGTGAATGTAGTGCTTGCTTTCCTGGACAATATGCATCAGTTGCGGAGCGTAGTTGAGTTTTTCTTCCGTGCCTGCATCACTGTCGTTGCTAATAGCTCCATCTTCGGACAGAGTCTTGCTCAGCGCTTCAACGAACTCCACCAGCTCATCAAACCGCTTCAATGGTCGATCCAGCAGCTTGTCAGCAGTTATCTGCTGCTTCCCCAGATAATTCCCCAGCACCTCCCCGTCCCAGGCTTTTACTTGTTTCGATAGTACTGCGTCCAGTGTGGCTTGGGTGGCTTCCTTTCGGCAATGAAGTTGTCCGTACTGGACGCGAAGGAGGCCCAGCATATCCGCCAAAATCTCCACGAAGCTGCTGCACCTCATATCGATTAAATTGAGGGCTCCACGCGCTGAAAGCTCCAACACCGGCTTTAGTTTTGCCTGGAAAAATGTATGGATGTGACGGAGCTGCGCTACAGCCTCCAAGAACCGGTCGAAGGCGACGCTATTCACGAGAGATCCGCCTCGCGAACGACATTCAAAGCGAAGCTTTCGCGCCAGATCCTTCTCAACACATTCCAGGAAGTGTACATAGTCGCCATCTTCCTCCAAGAAGACACGTAGGCCGGCCTGTGCGGCTTCCCACTGCGCTTGCATCAGAGCTTTCCAAATCAATAAACAACTTTATTTATCCTCTCATTAGTGGTACTATCGCTATTAGGGGGAGGTTCAGAATTATGGTTTGACACAAAAACACGACTAAAAACGAAGTAACCTAGCCGCCATAGACAATCATAATGACAGTTTTTTAGGCTACCGCGCTGCTGGGTATCAATATTTTAGTGGATATATACTCTTTAATTACTTTAAACTCAACAAGCTATGCTATCGGAAAGCAAAGGCCATAATATGGAATGACGTCCCTCTGCCACTTAAGTCTCTAAATCTGATCAGATATAGCTAAATGGCCCTAATTACCCTAACCACTGTCCGTTTTATCTATATCGGCCTCCGATA